TACAATCTAAGGTCCTTAACTCACATTCATACATACACATACTAGGGCAAATTTAGACAGGAGCCAATTAACCTACCAGCACGTCTTTGGAGTGTAGGAGGAAACCGGAGTACCCGTCGGAAACCCACACAGGCACAGGAAGAACATGCAAACTCCAGGCAGGTGGTGCCATGGTTCGGATTTGAACCAACGACCCTAGTACTGCCAGGCTGAAGTGATATTATTTTTAGTACATGCATTTTTCTTGCAATAAATGAAACACTGCTGTCCCCCTAGTGTTTTGCCTAGGATCGCATGGCTACTAATCACTGCAGTGAGCAAACCAGTGCTGAGATAAAAGGAGAAAACTTATATATGTTCTAGTACAGTAACACACATTGATAAGATTAACTATTCATACGCACATCTAAGAAACAGATTCTTGTAGAGGCTACTGATGCAACGCATTATATATCATATATATATAGTAATTACAAAATTAGTGGTCATTATCACAAAATTAGTGGTCATTATCACAATCGTGATCTTAGAAAATGATTTGTGTTCAACACTTGTAATGACAAAATCTTATTAGCTGTTATTAGCAGGCAAGGGAAAGTCAAGGCGTCCCTAAATGATAAGGAGTGTCAGATCCACATATTATGCAGAGTGAAGATATGCATTAATGCAATAGGATGTTAGTGAAATAACAAGTTAAAGTGGCAGCTCACCCTAAAAGGGAAATTCCGCTTTATGTCCTCCTCACATTAACATTTTTTGGGGGGAGCAGGCACTTAGTTTTGATGACTACTCCATTCCAAAGTTCAGCACACCCCCCCCCCCCCTTTGTCCGCAGCCTTCTGGGATAGCTCACAGGTTCCATTTACAAATCTCAGGGTGGCTCGCTGGATTGGCGGCTTGGAGTGCCCATTCACAGCACTACAGTGCAGTAACATGCAGGTAATACACTATAAAGACATTTATTCCCACCTTCTCAATGGATGGCAGCATGTAATACAATGCATGTTAAATGCTCAGCAATGGGGCACCCTGGTGTGAATGGTCTTTGTGTATTTAAAGTGTTTCTAAAGTTTAAATAATTTTTCCTAATGCATTCCCTGCATTAAGGTGAAAAACACCCGACTATCTGTCCCCCCCAACCCCAAACACTTACCTGACTCCTCTCACTGATCCAGCTCTGTCCCATCTGCAGCACCACTCCTCTCATTTCCTGGTCTCACAGGAGATGCTGAGAACAGAGTAAGCCATAGGATCCTGTTGCTGTCAGTCAAATTCCTGCTGTGTGTTATGGATGCACACATCCCAGACCAGGAGTGCGCCTGCACAGGTGCCCCCTTAGCAGCTGCTTTGCTCAGGGGGCACCCGGAAGTAGAAGGAGCAGACAGCCTTAATCGAGGAATGCTCTGTGTAATATCCTTGAACTGAGCAGGTAAATATAACATTTTTTTATACTTTAATTAAAAAATACATTTAGTTTCTCTCTGTGCCCCATTGGGGAGAATTACATAATTTCCTATCACTGACGCACAACAGAGAGTCAGAGAAAATCTGTGACAATTGTCACTGGAACATGTGTCCCTTTGGAAGATTTCTTTCCACCTCCTGATGACAGCTGTAAAATGTTGAGTTTATTTCCACTATCTGTGCCAGTGACAAAAGTTACTTAGTGAATCTTCCCCCCAGGGGCAGACTGACAACTCATGGGGCCCCCAGGCAATAGGGGATCATGGGGCCCCTGTGTCCTTGCTCAAACTCAAAAAAGCCTATGAAAAAGGTACCAGGGGCATCTCATGGGGCCCCCTACTGATGGCGGGCCCTCGGGCAGTGCCCAAGTTTTCAAATGGTCAGTCTGCCCCTGCTTCCCCCCACAAGAACAAAAACAAAGCAATAAAACTTGCAGAAGTTCTAACCATCTACTCTATGTCATGCTGTATTTGTCTATGGATGCACACAGCCTGGCTTAGGAGTGCACCCACACAAGTGCCCCCATAGCACACAGCTTGCACACGGAAGGAATGAGGAGACAAGACCACTGGCAGGGGACCCCAGAAGAGAAGGATGAAATAGCAGACATGGTCACACACATGGTTAGAATAGCACCAGTTGCACAGCTCCCGATGTACATAGGACGATGTCTTTTGGCACACTGACTTATGAAGGTCAGTGCTCCCTATGACTGTGCATGTAGCTTTTTGCTACCATAAGTTGGCATGTTACTAGTCTCGAAACTTTTTGATACCACCACGTAAATATAAGTTAGGAATCTTAGATTGTAGGCTCCTTGAGGACAGGGACTGATGTGAATGTACAACAAATGTAAAGGTCTGCATAAATGGTGTATATAAATATCTGAAATAAATAAAAATAAATAAACAGACAGTAAAAAAAGAAAATAACACAAAGCAACAGTAAACAAATAAAGATCAAATATGGGGGGGGGGGGGGGGGTGGGGGAAATAACAATACAAAGAACACTGAAAAAAAATCAATTAAACTACCTTTCTTATATACCCCTTCCCCCAAAGAAAAAAAACACTCATTAATACATTTTTTTAAAAAAAAGAACATTTTATTTGCTAGCTCATTGGAGGTAATTTACAGTTTATGTTTCAAAGAAAATTTGCCAACAACAAAGTCTGTAATATACACAGCAAAATCGGTTCTGACAAAAATATCCCCAATCATCACCCGATCTAGAAAGAAGTTTAAGGCTCAGCTAGGAGTAAGGATAGCTTCACTTACATTTTTAACTTTCAACTGAATGGCAAAAAACAATAAAAAGTACAAAAAATGACTGCTAAGGTGGGAGATAAAAGCAGTTCCTGTCTTTTGTGATGACTAATTGAAGGCTAAGAGAAAAGCAATGTAACACTGAAGGCAGTAGGAAAAAAGGGTAACAGGGCATGAAATTATCTTACACCATCTCATTAGTGTCTGGGCTGGAGAAAGGGATTGTTCATGCATGCAGGTCCCTACAGGGATTACAAAAGGCTACTAGTCTGGGTTAGAGCCTCAGGTTACCAGCAGTGCAGTGGGTAATGTATTAGCTGCATGTAATTATGGCCTACCTGTACAGATGCAACTAGTGTGGCTCACCAAAAGTACTTACATTGTACTAACAAGTATTGGAAACAGGAACTTCTGTCTCCAATGAAATAACATAATATATTATAAAATTAGCAAGTTTTAATAAAAAAATTTACAATAATAAAATTAGCAAGTTACACATTTTAAAAGTTGTAAAAAAAAAAACTTCATAAAACCAAAACTGAACCCACTTTAGGCCATTTGTATCTATTTGAATCCATGTTGACATCCTAGGATAATCCTAAGAACATTGCACATTGCACATTAATTCAGCACCTTGTAGCCGATATCTGCAAACACTCTAGTACAGTGGTCTCCAAACTGTGAACCGGGCCACATGCCTTTATTCGGTCCTTGGGGCACCACTCCTCTCATTGATATAAGACACTATTTCTCCCACTGACACTAACAATGGGGCATAATTCTTGCCACTGGCAACACCAATGGGGGACTATTTTTCACACACTGGCACCACCAATGGGGGACTATTTTTCACACTGGCACCACCAGTGGGGGACTATTTTTCACACTGACACCACCAATGGGGGACTATTTTTCAGACTGGCACCAACAATGGGGGACTATTTTTCACACTGGCATCACCAGTGGGGGACTATTTTTCACACTGGCACCACCAGTGGGGGACTATTTTTCACACTGACACCACCAATGGGGGACTATATTTCACACTGACACCACCAATGGGGCACTATTCTTCAAACTAACATCAGCGAAGGGTTACTTTTCCTACCCCTAACACCAAAGATGGGGCACTGTTCTCACTGATGCCAGGGCAATTTCTACTTCCACTAGCCGCAATCCAACCCCCATAAAGTCTAAAGTACAGTAAGCTGGCCCTTTGTTTAGTAAGTTTGAAGACCCCTACTCTAGTAGTTCTATAATTTTATACATCTTATCCAGTGAACCACCACCACCTATTTTAACTAATTGTTAATATCAGATGTGCTTCTAATAGATAGGTACAGTTACAAAAGCTCACAGCTATCCAAGAGTAATTTGCTACATAAGTAAGCTATACATAAAATGTAAATGTTATTTGCTTGGGACCAGTTTGTAAAATTCCAAGTATCTTTATGATAAAAACTGGACAACACAGTGAAAGAGGTCACAGAGCACAGAGTGCATATCACAATCTGAAATATACAGTAGGTCTGGGGTACTGAAGTAAAAATCATGGAGGTCTGGTCAGCAACATTTTCTTTCTCCAGAGGAGAAAGCACCCATATCATAGTCCCCCCTCACATCACAGCCCCCTCATATCAAAGCTCCTCCAAAGACAGCCCCCATTAAACCATAGTCTCCACTGCAGTTCCAGCTCTTCCCTCTTCACAGTTCTACCTTTACATAGCATGCCAGAGGGCAGGAGGCACAGCAGGGTGGAATCCTATTCTAAATATGTATTTGCCTCCCTTTCACTGTCGCCGCTGATGTTAAACTCACAGCAGGGAAGAGGTCAAGAGATACGGAAGGTCTGCACTGACGGTGGGAGCTGACCAACTCTTCTTGTTAACAAGCAAAAAGGTTGGCCTGCTCTCGCTCCCTATGTAATCCTGCCATATCTCCCGCCCTCTTCCCTGCTGTGAGTTTAACAGCAGTGGTGGCAGCCACGCAGATACATATACAGTAGAATAAATTCAATCAATATTTTCATGACAATGATAAAAATTGGTTTAAGGCAATCAAAAGAAAAATAAATCAGATATAGAAATTACCCAAACATCTAAACTACCAAAGGTTATAAGTGTAGTTGTTGATCCTTCAGAAATATCTCTCCCACATTTATTAAAAACTGCTGTGATAAACATACATTATATTGGCAAAAGTATTGGGACACCTCTCCAAATCATTGGATTCAGGTGTTTCAATTACCTCCATGGCCACAGGTGTATAAAATCAAGCACCTAGGCATGCAGACTGCTTCTACAAACATTTGTGAAAGAATGGGTCGCTCTCCGGAGCTCAGTGAATTCAAGCGTGGTACCGTGATAGGTTGCCACCTGTGCAATAGCTCCATCCGTGAAATTTCCTCGCTACTAAATATTCCATGGTCAACTGTTAGTGGTGTTGTAACAAAGTGGAAGCAACTGAGAATAACAGCAATTCACCCATGAAGTGGTAGGCCATGTAAAATGACAGACCGGGGTCAACGAATGCTGAAGCACACAGTGCGCAGAACACACCAACTGTCTGCAGAGTCAATAGCTAAAGACCTCCAAACTTCGTGTGGCCTTCAGATTAGCACAACAACAGTGCGTAGAGAGCTTCATGGAATGGGATTCAATGGCCGAGCAGCTGCATCCAAGCCTTACATCACCAAGTGCAATGCAGAGCGTTGGACTGGACTCTAGAGCTGTGAAGAGGTGTTCTCTGGAGTGACGAATCACACTTCTCTGTCTGGCAATCTGATGGATGTGTCTGGGTTTGGCAGTTGCAAGGAGAATGGTACTTGCCTAACTGCATTGTGCCAAGTGTAAAGTTTGGTGGAAGGGGGATTATGGTGTGGGGTTGTTTTTCAGGAGTTGGGCCCTTAGTTAAAATGAAGATAACTCTTAAAGCGTCAGCATACCAAGACATTTTGGACAATTTCATGCTCCCAACTTTGTGGGAACAGTTTGGGGATGGCCCCATCCTGTTCCAAAATGACTGAGCACCAGTGCACAAAGCAAGATCCATAAAGACATGGATGAGCGAATTTGGGGTGGAGGAACTTGACTGGCCTGCAGAGTCCTGACCTCAACCCGATAAAACACCTTTAGGATGAATTAGAGCGGAGACTGCGAGCCAGGCCTTCTCGCCCAATGTCAGTGCCTGACCTCACAAATGCGCTTCTGGAAGAATGGTCAAACATTCCCATAGACACATGTAAACAGAAGTGTGAGTGCCTTGATATAGAAAAAAGCTGCTGTGCACAAAAAGGTAACCAATATCACCCTGGAACATCAATATAAAAGTGCAGCGCTAAAATATTGTCCACGTGAATAAAAGTATATAAATGAATATTCCTTCTCTGATCCAATAAATAAATAAAAATATAAAAAGTTCCAATATGTAAATAATGTAAACCAGATAAAAAGTGACTCTGGTGACTCTGGACCCGGTATCCGTGCAATAATGGTAAAGGTAATACGCACTCACCGGATGTGCATATTTAATAATGTAAATAATCCAGATGTCATCAGATATGGAGAAGGTCAAAAGATGGGTGGTCCTCCCTCTAAGGGATGGTGGATCATCAAACTGGGTAGTGTGAAGCTGGTGTGGGTGGTCCTTGTCCTATAGGGGTCCCCCTTTTTCAAGGCTTTTTGTATCCCTCTAGGTGTGCAGATCTCCACTGTGTAGCAATGATCCGTCTTGGTGGTGAATCTGTGGACTAGAGCACTCCCCCAGGGGGTAACAACAGAGATACTCCCATAGTGTACTAGGTGTTTAAGATACTTTATTGTGATGCATCAAAGGTAGGTAACATAGAAATGCAGACAGAAATCGATGAGGACTAACCATCTGATAAAGCAAGATGGCCGCCGGAGCTCCACGTTGCTCCGGCGGCATGACGTCACGGCGTGGTGTGGCTCCCCCTGACGTGTATTGTGCTCAAAAATGTCCTTAGAGGGGGTTGCCAATCCTATTGATTGGGGAGCGGGGAGTACCCACATTTGACAGGTACCCATTCCAACTTCCGCTGTGATTGCCTAGGCGATCGGAAGCGTAAGTCCTCCCCCCTCCCTCCCCGTAGTGGAGGTCAAAGACTAACGGGGTCATTCACAAAGTGCAGTGCATTTAGCTCATGCGCAGTGGGCACCCGGCCGTGAAACTGCAAGCTGTCACAGCCTGGTGCTCACACTGAAGATGCCGGCGCCAGGGGGAGAAGACAGCCTGTGAAACCAGTGGTGGTGATGAGGACACAGCTGGGGTACGGAGGGACAGGTGAGTGTCTGCATTTTTAAAAAGTCAGCAGCTACAGTTTTTGTAGCTGCTGACTTTTTTCTTTTCAGGTGGAAACTCCTGCTTTTAGGCACATAATTGCCTATGCTCAATATTACTCAGGTCTTTGTGCACAGTTTTTGGCCCCCCTGCACATGGACATCACAAATTTTTGAGTAAACATTAGTAAATTATGACACACGTGTGCAAGGGGCCTCAGCCACATATTAATCTCCCCATTGTATTTAAGCTATTTCTAGCCTTCTGGTATTAATCAGAAGAACTGTCTTGAAGTCTTTAGAAATCAAAGTACACCAAAAGTACACCAAAGTACACTATCAAAAGTACACCAAAGGAACAAGCAAAGGGAACACCTGCAAAGCATACAGGGAAATCCAGGAATTTGCGGAAAGAGAAGGCCAGCAGACATGCAAAAACTCTCACACATGAAAAGAGATTTTTCAAGAAAGCTTATAATGGATTGTCAAAAATGACTGTTGTTTGTTTCGCTATTACAATACAGATGATTATAAAATGAACGTGATAGAGTAAAAAAAGTGTTGTAGCTATAGATACACCTTTCATTGAACATCCATGGCGCTATCATACATAAATGTAAGTTGTTAACGATTTTAGGACAAAAAATTTTCAATTCTTGCAATACTTTAATTAGTGACAATTACATTTTGGGACTTCTAGTTCTAATTAAAGTTCTGGCTAATAAATGTTTCATTATTAAGAGTACAAAAGTAATAGTTTAATGATAGTTATTTAATCCATGCTATTCATTCTAATTATATAAAATTACTACTACTATAATTTGGAGCAAACAATTTATACCGTACTATATGAAAGCTGTTTTGATTGGACAGAATAAAAAGCTAACTCTGTAATCCATTTAAATGTATATTTTCATTAATATTTATGTGCATATTCTTGCATTACATCAATACACAAGGTGCACAGAAATTATCTTGCAGGCGGGGGCATAGAATATGGGAGGGGGAGTCGGGGGGTTCAAACCACTCCAGAGCATCCTGGCTGCTTGACCTCAGCAACAGTGCAGTAGACGCAGAGTTGCGGAGTGCAGCAGCCAGCCCCTCTCTATTGTGCCCCAAGTCCCATCAGTTTAGTAAGGGCCCCCCCCCCCAAAAGCATGAAAATCCTGCGAGGTCTCGATGCTTTCTATACCTCGACATAGGTCTTGGATACTGGAAACTGACATGGCCGAGGGAACTCCTAGACTCCTTCTTGAGGTACATATGACACAGCCTAAGGGGACAAGGGATGTAGAAGTGTTCCAGATTCTGTGCATGCTGAATCTGAGGTTTGGATAGTGGAGAGGCATAAACTTTCTGTTTGGAGGATGGAGGGGTAAGAATTCCTGCCTGGGGGAGGTTTATTTTGGTGGGGGGAGGAAAGGAGGGTAGGTTTGCTTTTGGAGAAGGAGGAGGGAGTTTCTTGTAGAGCAATTTACAGAAGGGTGGTTAGTGGCAGGTATCTGCTTCTGGGAGGGCATTTGATTGAATAAAGGGAGATTTTCTCCATAATTAGGAATCTTTACTGGGGGGGGGATGTTGACTGTGGGGAGATATTTTTTGCTTTGGGGGGGTTGTTTAGAGACAGGAGGTTTAAGTTTTGGGGGGGAAAATTTGAGGGCAAGAGATGCTTTGCAGTTGGAAATCTTTGTTTAGGGATGCTGGGGGGGGGGGGTATTCATAGATACATAGCTACATAGTTAGTCTGACTGAAAAAAGACAAAAGTCCATCCAGTTCAACCATTAAAATACAAAAAGTTATAATCCTATACCCACAGTTGATCCAGAGGAAGGCAAAAAAACCCAGCAAAGCATGATCCAATTTGCTCCTGCTGGAAAAATATCCTTCCTGAGCCCCCCCTGAGAGGCAATCGGATATTCCCCTATTTCCCTGGATCAACTTTACCTATAAATGTTATTATCCAGTTATATTGTGTGTATCTAAGAAACAATCCAGGCCTTTTTTAAAGCAATCCACTGAGCTGGCCAGAACCAACTCTTGAAGGGAGTCTATTCCACATTTTCACAGCTCTTACTGTGAAGAAAACCTTTCCGTATTTGGAGATTAAATTTTCCTCCAGACGTAAAGAGTGCCACTTGTCCTCTGTGATGACCTCATGGGTACATAGTTCTACACTGAGTTCACTATATGAACCACTGAAGTATTTATACATGTTGATCCTATCTCCCCTTAAATCGCTCTTCTCAAGAGAGAATAAATTCAGTTCCTCTAATATCTCTTCATCGCTGAGCTCATAGGAGGGAGAGGAGAATTTTTTTCCTTTCAAAGTAATGTGTTTTTTTTCTTAAAACATACTTACCTAGGATCGATGATACATCTATCCCCCCGCTGCTGCTAAGACCACTTCTAAGACTTAAGAACTGAGCGATCAAAGATCGCTGATCACCCAGCCTTCAGTGAGCAGAGTGCTGACTGGCATTCACTGGCTCTCTGCTCTGCCCCTCCAGCTCTGGAGCGCCTGGTTGTGGAGGAGGCAGGATGGAGCTGGCTCTCAGGATCTCACAGCTCGCAGAGAGGCTGAGACCATCTACTGGTCCAAGCTTCTGGGTGAATCTCGACTTTAAAGTCAGGAATTTTCCCCAGTCTGGGCCTGCTGAGTAACATCAGCTGATAGCGACTTTAGCCACTGAGAATGGGTCATAGGAGTGCAAAATGAACTGCACTCCTGTGATCCTCAATAGAAGTACAACCAAACGGTATGCCGTCCCTTCAGAGTGCATGCGCCGGTGATGTCAACCGCAAGTTTAGGAGATTATTTCACTGTACCTACAGGTAAGCGTTATTATAGGCTTACCTGTAGGTACAAGTTCAAAAGCTGAGTTCATCTACCGTTTAAGGCTGAAAAAGAGCCAACCTTATTGTGAGCAGGTTGCAAAGGTCACCATCCTCTGATAGCCAGTGTACTTTTCTTTTTTTTTAATCTCTTAAAAAAAATATTCATAAATTCCTTTAAGGGCTTTTTAAAAAATCACTGAATTTACTGCATACCACCCAAAATTGTATGTCTGTCCTTTGCACCTGCTCAGGTTGCCCACAGTAAGGTTAGCTGAAATCCTGGTCTTGAGGTTTCATTCATATATTCTACATGACCATGGTGCAGCAAGTATACTGGAAACACTTGCACTGGATCTCAGGTGTTCCAATCTCTGCTCAGCCTATACGCCTGAGTGACAGACTGAAAAGAGCTAAGGGGCTGCTGTAAACATGTATCACATTAGTGGTGCGCACCGAAATTAAAAGTTTGGGTGCTGAAACCAAGACTGAAAATTCAAAGATGCACTTGGCTGAAAACCAAAAACGAAATGCGCAGTTTTTAAAAATGATTATATATTTTTTGGAAAAAAAAATACACTTTGATTAAAAAAACAATATACACCCCAATTGTTTTGTAAAATTTGTAAAGAGGATGTTACAGCGAGTAAATAGATAACCGAACATGTCACGCTTTAAAATTGCACAGGATCGTGGAATGGTGTGAAAACTGCAGTGCTTAAAAAT